TTTTCCTTGCTGTGCGCTTTCTAGGGCGTGAGTGGTGCATTTAATCTCTAAGGATTTTGCACCAGGAGTCTGCCACGCCAGCTTGTACGATCCATAGTGAGGCCGTAGTTGTCATAGGCCTTGGCAAGTAGCTTGCATGGTCCATAGCGAGGCCATAGTTGTCATGTTGTTGTTCGTCCGTCAACATCGACTAGGACCATCGAGTCATCCGGTTAGGGGGGAGGTTGAGTTACGGTGGGTTCATAGGTGGCTTGCTAGACCAATCCTTGCTCGGAATAATCTCTGGCACCGCGGGCAGGGGATAGTTGCTGCAGTCTGTATCTACTATTGCTCTTTCGGGCGAGCCTGTATGTCTCAGCTGTGGTTATTCTACTGGCTTCATGAGATTTAGCCCTTTTCTTGACAGCTGCTCTCCACCTGGCTCTGTCCTGGGCTGTCTGCACCCATTGAGTAGGGTTTATGCTGAAGGGCTTTAGTGCCGCTTTCAGTGAGATTTTGTAAGGCTTTTTTTTACCTCCTTGGGGGGTGGGGAGGGGCTTGCCTCTCGTGAGTTCTCCGAAGAATATCTGTTTTGGGAGTCGGTGGTCTTCCATGCGGGCTACGTGTCCCATCCAACGGAGTTGAGACTGCATCAGGGTGGTGAAGATACTAGGTAGATCTAGTGAGGACTTCTGTGTTGTCATAGGCCTTAGCAAAACGATCAAGTATTTGCTGCATTTTAGGATGCAGATATCAACGAATAAAAGGCCTGTAATTACCATTTCTTTAACGTTCGTAAAGGCTTGCAGTCTCCTAAGATTAAATAGCTGTCAGTCCTGTATCAATCTTATGGTAATGTCGTCATTAGTGTAAAAAAGCATCAGTCAGCATTACTGATGATAAAATGCTAACAAGTTTTGGGGCTAGAACGCAGACTTGTTTTACGCCATTAGTTACAGGAAAAGCCAAAGACTTATCTCCAGCAACCACCACCTACCCTTCATACCATCATGGAAATTACCATTCATACCATCATGGAAATTACCCTTCATACCATCATGGAAATAGACGGAATATTGCAATAAATCTACTTGGACAGCCAAACTACTCCGTTATCTTCCACAGGCCATCTCTGCTGACCGGGTTGAATGCCTTGGTCATATCAACAAAGATCAAATCTAGTTATAGGTTGAACATAAATAGCAACACATTAGAAAACCCACAAATTTCTTGCCTTCATCACGTCCTCCAAAGTACGATTTTTTTGCAAACTAAATTAACGTCACGTGAGGAAGGCGCCCCCCCCCCTTGAATCCCCTCCCCTCTTCCAAAAAATTCCGTTTGTGAAAGTCTCAACTGTTTTGACATGTTGATTGATATGACTGACTTAAATTTATCCCGCACGCGCTCAGCGCCGTCACATGTCGTTTAAAGGACCCGCCCACTTTCCGGTGGCGTCCCGAGGTTGACAGTTTAAATATTTTTCAACATCAAAACTTTTGACTCTTAAATATCTGATCGCCCCCCCCCCACCCTTTGCAGTCATAGGGGTTGCAGGACCAACGCAAGTGGTCAGTGAATGTGATTCAGTTTGACAGTTTAAATATTTTTCAACATCAAAACTTTTGACTCTTAAATATCTGATCGCCCCCCCCCCCCACCCTTTGCAGTCATAGGGGTTGCAGGACCAACGCAAGTGGTCAGTGAATGTGATTCAGTAAAGTCAACACGAAGTGCAATTCCGAAATTCATGAACTGTAAATCAATATTTACATATATCACAGCTTTGAGCCCCAACACCAAGCACCACATTGGTAGCAGACGATAACGCAGTCAAGAAGGTGGTAGAAGGTGATAAACAATAAAGAGAGACCCATCACCACAGTAATATCAGATGAAAATGCTATTCGAGGGACATATAACTGAATAATTGATACAAAATTGATCGACATGTTGGAATCTTTCAATATGGCTACGTATCTAATATTCAAACATCACATGAAAATTTGGTCTGCCCATAGCTTAAATGTTCATCATAAATTGGTGATTGTCACATGACTTGGTGGTTGTCACGTGAATTGGTGGTTGTCACATGAATTGGTGGTTGTCACATGAATAGGTGGTTGTCACATGAATGGTGGTTGTCACATGCATTGGTGGTTGTCATATAAATTGTTGGTTGTCACATGAATAGGTGGTTGTCACATGAATTGGTGGTTGTCCCATGAATTGGTGGTTGTCACATGCATTGGTGGTTGTCATATAAATTGTTGGTTGTCACATGAATTGTTGGTTGTCACATGAATTGGTGGTTGTCACATTTCTCATGTGGTTGTCACATGAATTGGTGGTTGTCAAATGAATTAATAGTTGTCACGTGAATTGGTGGTTGTCACATGAATTGGTGGTTGTCACATGAATTGGTGGTTGTCAGATGAATTGGTGGTTGTCACATTTCTCATTTGGCTGTCACATGAATTGTTAGTTGTCACGTGAATTGGTGGTTGACACATGAATTGGTGGTTGACACATAAATTGGTGATTGTCACATAAATTGGTGATTGTCACATGAATTGGTGGTTGTCACGTGAATTATTGGTTGTCACATTTCTCATGTGATTGTCACATGAATTGTTGGTTGTCACATGAATTGGTGGTTGTCACATTAATTGGTGGTTGTCACATGAATTGGTGGTTGTCACATGAATTGGTGGTTGTCACATGAGTTGTCGGTTGTCGCATGAATTGGTGGTTGTCTCATGAGTTGTTGGTTGTCGCATGAATTGGTGGTTGTCTCATGAGTTGTTGGTTGTCGCATGAATTGGTGGTTGTCAAATAAATTGGTGGTTTTCAAGCGAAAGATGCAGAGATAATAGACAGGGAGAGACCGAAATAGTTGTGTTATCTTGGTACATACATACAACTTATAACTGAATTGGGCGTCTCCCAAAGTGGGGCTTGCTCTTTAATTGGATGGGTGGGTATATAAGGGGGTGGGTGGGTATATAGTCTCTATGATGTACGACTTTTTTACATTTCAAAATGTCCGGTGGATGGGTGGGGGGGGGGGAGGGAATCTTGGACAAGAGACTTTTGAAATCAAGCACCCTTATTATTGTTGTTGTTCATTATTGCAATCCATCAAATCTGTCAGCAATGTAAGATGTGTTTGAATGTTTCACGTTAAGCCTACAATGTTCAACCTCGAGGTATCATTGGCTTGATGTTCCATTTTCCCTATAACAACTTGCATGAAGATCTCTCTCGTTATTTTAGATCTCTCTTTCAAGTATGGGGTTTTTTGGGGGTTGGGGTGGGGGGAGGGTTGGGGGTGGGGGCATTCAACCTATTAGATTCACAGAAAAACGGGAAGGAGTTTGGGGCAAGAAAAAAAAATTGTGGAAGACAGAATTAAACTCCAACTTCCGGCAACAACAATGGCGATCACTTAGTAGCACAGCAACATGGCGAGCCCCTCTGAAACATAGGAGCCAGAATGATCAAACATAGGAGCCAGAATGATCAAACATAGGAGCCAGAATGATCAAACATAGGAGCTAGAATGATCAAACATAGGAGCCAGAATGATCAAACATAGGAGCCAGAATGATCAAACATAGGAGCCAGAATGATCAAACATAGGAGCCAGAATGATCAAACATAGGAGCCAGAATGATCAAAAATAGGAGGCAGAAGGATCAAACATAGGAGCCAGAAGGATCAAACATAGGAGCCAGAATGATCAAACATAGGAGCCAGAAGGATCAAACATAGGAGCCAGAATGATCAAACATAGGAGCCAGAATGATCAAACATAGGAGCCAGAATGATCAAACATAGGAGCCAGAATGATCAAACATAGGAGCCAGAATGATCAAACATAGGAGCCAGAATGATCAAACATAGGAGCCAGAATGATCAATTCATTGATCGTGGGCCCTAAAAATAAAAAAGAAGAAGAAGACTTAAGTTGTTAACTTGTTTCTATTTCTTGTCCCATTGACATCTGTCCTGTGTGCCGACGAAGGCTCTTAGCCGAAACGTTCTTGTTTTATTGTCCTGACTCTTAATTAAAGCTTACGTATACCTTTTTCTTCTACGTCCTTGCTTTAAAGTATGGGGTGGTTTTGGGGGGGGGGGGATATTAATTGACCAAGGGACGCAATCCGTTATTCACCTGAAGACAACTCTGGTGTATTTTGATATTTCATTTAAAGAGATCGAAAGGTCAAGTTAATGCCACCACAGGAACAAGATCTTAAAGGCACAGCGCAAGTCCCATTAGATAGCACGTGAAAAAGTTACATTAAACAAAATGTGATCACGTCAAATTAAACATATCGTAGACACGTCAAATTAAATGTGAACAGGTCACATAAAAAAAAAAACGCGATCACGTCAAATTAAAGAGAAAGCTAAACATATCAAACAAGTTCAATTTAGGGATTACTAAATTAACAAAAAAGAAGTAAAAAAATCAAAATTGTGTTTGTACAACTTGAAAGTTTTCTACTTCTAAGCTCATTTATATGCATTCATTTCGACTCTTTATGTGCATTCATTTAGACTCTTTATGTGCATTCATTTACACTCTTTATGTGCATTCATTTAGACTCAACATCTTTTCTCTTAAAACTCGTGCAGAGTAAAATAATGTCACTTAGAGGTGAAGGCCATTTGTACCCCTGACGCCAGGTTCGCAGTGCTATGCGCCATTTCCCACCAACCCCATGATTCGTCATACCCGGTGATCGCGGGCGCCCCCGTGCAACCTACACAGGTTGGCGTCGTGTAGGTTGTCACGCGCATGGTGTACTTCTGTTTCCCCGACACCTCTCTGAAGAACCTCTTGAGAACCCCTGCTTTGTCCGGCATTTTTTGGTACTCCACCAAGCCCCCGATCGAGACCACCTTGGAGGTGCCGTGGGGGTGGGACACTATGACGACGAAATCGATCATCGAGCAGTCTTTGACGGACCTGGGGATGGCCTGACCCAGGATTTTGGCCGCCTCCACCAGGCGGTGGACCTTCTTGATGAAATCCAGGTCATGCGTGACGCACCGGACGATGACGCACTCGCCGTTCTCCGTGTCCCGTTGGACGTCGTGACCTTTGAGCGTGACGACGCCGAGTCGATCAGGCGTGTCGAAAAAGCATTCCACCTCGGTGCTCTCGGCTTCCTTAGCATCGTGGACGACGTGCCTGTTGGTGCGGACAGGGATGAAGCCGTAGACAGAGTGGTTGCTGCCCTGGGGAGAAAGATGAGATCAAGTCAAGATTAGGGCACTGGGGTCTCAGTCAATATAGGACCACGAAGCTGCACGCCCGAAACTCTTCGCCACTGAGTCAGCTCCACCCCCCCCCACCGGCCGTCCACTCAACTGACCTGGCAAATGGGGCGATCTCTACCAAGAAGCACCTGGTCGGATTTTAGTATTGCCGCTGCAACACTAGCACTCGAACTTTCTAAAACTGGAATGGATATATAAACGTCGTAATTGCACTTTCATGGTTTGGAAGATGTTTTTCAATCTGTTTTAAGATCATCATACAGATACAAATCTTCCAAACCCTGGCAGTGCTTAACACTTACACTTAAAATGCAGTCGTCTTTACACGGGAGCACACGGATGTTGTCCAAGTCCACTTGATGACACACACTTCCGGTCGCCCCTCGCAGTACGCCTCGTCCTACCAGCTTGCTGAATGGATCTTCTTTGGGTCTGTCTGAACTTGTGACCTTCACCTTTAACCTTTGGGGGGGCGGGGAAACGAGGCTCGGAAATTTAATTAAAAAAAAAACAACAACAAACTAAAATTCTTCTCATTCATCAGTACTCGTCCTCTTCTGCCTGTAGTGACAGTCCACACAACAACGCCAAATGAAATCACCAGCATACAAAAAATAGCACAGCAACAAACAGATGCGATAGGATCCTAGTTTTTGAAATGACAACACAACCGCAACATTAAAAATGTTTTACATTTGAAACCACAGAACCAACGGGTACATTTTTTTAAAATGAATCAGGACAGTAACACAACAACCACATCTACCACAACAGCATCAACAGCATCAGCGGCATCAACAAGATCAACAGCAGCAACAACATCAACAGCATCAGCAGCAGCCACGTGGGCAGTATTAAGTTAAGACCGTAAAAGACAATACCTGACGACCAGCTGGCTCAGCGCTATGACGTAATCAAGGACACTTTGGTATCTCAAGGCTCCAGGGAAGTCGTCCAGTGTCAGATCCTTGATGGGTATAAACTGTTCGTGGCCTGGATTTTTGGTGCACGTGATGTACCTGTGACGTAGGTCGGAGTCTCTCTGGAACAGGTCAATCTCCAAGTGCTCCTCTGTGTTCCAGATAAATTACAGTGTAATGTTAGATGTAAGGGGAATACGACCTAATGAACTTAATGTAATATAATTGACTGTAATGTTTGAGCTTATAAGGACAGGCCAAATTGTAAGAGCCATATAATTGTAAGAGTCATATAATTGTGAGAGTCATATAATCGTCAGAGCCATATAATTTTAAGAGCAACATAATGCAAACATAATGATTCACAGAACTGGATCAGAATCGAATGACTTGATTTGAAATTATCTCCGAACTAGAGTAATCTAGATTTGTATAAACTACAATTTAAGGATGACTTCAATCTCAGTCAATTTATAAAATCTGTATATTAATTTGACTTTTTTGTTCGTGTGTGTCTTTCTCTCTGTCTGGGTGTACGGCAAAATCTTCGGACGTCTAATTGGCCCACTTTGCGTCAACCTATCGAGCTGAAACTTGGCACATAGACTCGTTGCCGGTGACAACTCATTCTATCAAAATTTTTCAGCCCCCCCCCCCCCGCAACACCCCCTGGACGTCTAATTGGCCCACTTTGCGTCAACCTATCGAGCTGAAACTTGGCACATAGACTCGTTGCCGGTGACAACCCATTCTATCAAAATTTTTCAGCCCCCCCCCCCCGCAACACCCCCATCAATATGGCGTGTTTTTCAAGGGTAAGATAACGGAAATATGATGCCACTGATGTAACGAAATAAAATTCCTGAGAACTGCGCTAAATGAAATGATATAAAATATAGCAAGTGTGTTTTATGCGTAAGATATTCTTTAGTTTTTTTTTTCTGAAAGAGTTGGTGTAATAACTGTGCGGTGTAAAATCATGTGTGACATGAGAATGTTAATATAAAATCACATAATAAAAAATGCTCATAAAGGGTTTAGACGAAAAAAACTTTGTTCTTAAGGGGTTCTTTGATTCTTCTCACAGCCCAAACGTGTGGGTGTCGCTTATAGCTTACACCAGGGGTCGGATCGTAATATCAAGGAATAAAATGGCGACCGCGTACCGGGTGTCACACATTAGCCAATTGTTGTGTTAGGAGACAGCATTAGTTCCTACCTTTGTAGTATGAGTCTCCTTTTGATAAGGGCACGTGCTTTGAACTGAAAAAGGGGAGATGAGTCAAATTTACAACTTGTAGGAACATGATTTGAACTGAAAAGGGGAGATTAGTTAAATGTACAACTTATGGGCACATGATGTGAACTGAAATACTGGAGATAAGCCTGATAGTTTAAAACTTTTACAAAGATAAATGTCCTTAATAATCAGCTTAGATAGAATCGTTAATTTAAAAAAAATGTTTTGTAAAAAAAGGATGAAAAATAGCAGATATTGTCATATTTAAATGTATTATCTAAAAGAAATCGATGAAATTAATGGCTTATGTTTGACGGAACCCTAACCCTAACCCTAACAATAAGCTGTTGGTGACGAGAACCTATTCCATGCATCTGTACACCATTCTATTCTATTCATCTGTAAACCAACCTATTTTATTCATAAGTAAAACCAACCTATTCTATTCATCTGTTTACCAACCTATTCTATTTATCTGTAACCGAACCTATCCTTGCCATCCAGGCCCACTTAGACCACCCACATGTGTTGTATGTGCCCTCTTTGACCACCCACATGTGTTATATGTGTCCACTTAGACTACCACATGTGTTGTATGTGTCCTCTTTGACCACCCACATGTGTTGTATGTGTCTCTTAGACCACCCACATGTGTTGTATGTGTCCACTTAGACTACCCACATATGTTGTATGTGTCCACTTAGACCATCCAAATGTGTTCACTTAGACTACCCACATGTGTTGTATGTGTCCACTTAGACCACCCACATGTGTTGTATGTGTCCACTTAGACCACCCACATGTGTTGCATGTGTCCTCTTTGACCACCCACATGTGTTGTATGTGTCCACTTAGACTCCCCACATGTGTTGTATGTGTCCACTTAGACTACCCACATGTGTTGTATGTGTTCAGATAGACTACCAACCCTGACATCAAACTGTGACCCAATCATTTTTACTCACCATTCCCCGTCAATCTTTTGATACTGTGCCATGCTGTAAGTAACAGAAAGACATGGAGTAGAGATCTTCGAGTTCACACCCAAAGCAGTCTGCAGAGTGTGAAGACAGACCTGTGATGCCTTGTGGCAGACTCACTTACCTTGGTAAATAACACAACTTACTAAGAACGTAATTTTAAAGAATGGCGAACACCAGGTCTACATCTGATGGAGTTAATATAATGACACGCCTAATGGCCTCAATTGTAACACAAAGGTTTAAGGATAAAAATATATCTGGGGAGTGTTTTGTCCTAATTCATATAATAACGTCACTAGTCGTATTACCCGTCAATAATGACTGTTTTCATCAAGTGAATATTTTAGATTTCCGCTGATCAATTCCCTCAAACTGAAAAGAAGTATAAGAAGCACACAAAGCCAATCCACTTTTTTGAATCCTCACGTCTGAAACCTTCTAAGTTTACATGCCGCTATTCGCAGTGACAGATGGAGTAACCCATTGCATCTTGTCGCACTGTGTCACGGTCGTCTGTTTACAAACAAATGAATGCTTCTCACGCCATGCTCAATTCTCAAACAGATTTCGAGGGGGGCCAAGTAAAGATTGCATTAGAAGGATATATAAAGGAAATGTAACAGAAGATGTATACACCAATATAACAGAAGATGTATTCAACAATATAACAGACGATTTATAGCATTTAGCATAGTTTTAAATCAGTTATTTTCACAACACTAACATGATATTATGAACTGAACTGTTATCTTTTGTAAAGCCACTGACCGATCAAGTTAGAAATAGCTCGACTCCTAAGTGCAAATCAGTTATCGGGAGAAACACTTTTTTGGAATCTCTGTACAGAATCAAATGTCACATTATACTAAATCAATCAGTTAAAATCTAAACAAATCTTCACAATAGTTTTTTTTTTCCATAATGAACTAAAAGTAAAAAAAAAGCTGATAATAAATTCATGACCCCGGATGTACATTTTTGTGTCTACTTCAGAGCTACAGACACATTTAATGTCTACTTCAGAGCTACAGACACATTTAATGTCTACTTCAGAGCTACAGACACATTTAATGTCTACTTCAGAGCTACAGACACATTTAATGTCTACTTCAGAGCTACAGACACATTTAATGTCTATTTCAGAACTACAGACACATTTAATGTCTACTTCAGAGCTACAGACACATTTAATGTCTACTTCAGAGCTACAGACACATTTAATGTCTACTTCAGAGCTAAAGACACATTTAATGTCTACTTCAGAGCTACAGACAAATTTAATGTCTATTTCAGAGCTACAGACACATTACATGTCTACTTCAGAGCTACAGACACATTTAATGTCTACTTCAGAGCTACAGACACATTTAATGTCTACTTCAGAGCTACAGACACATTTAATGTCTATTTCAGAACTACAGACACATTTAATGTCTATTTTAGAGCTACAGACACATTTCATGTCTACTTCAGAGCTACAGACACATTACATGTCTACTTCAGAGCTACGGACACATTACATGTCTACTTCAGAGCTACAGACACATTTCATGTCTACTTCAGAGCTACGGACACATTTCATGTCTACTTCAGAGCTACAGACACATTACATGTCTACTTCAGAGCTACAGACACATTTCATGTCTACTTCAGAGCTACGGACACATCACATGTCTACTTCAGAGCTACAGACACATTACATGTCTACTTCAGAGCTACGGACACATTACATGTCTACTTCAGAGCTACATACACATTTCATGTCTACTTCAGAGCTACAGACACATTACATGTCTACTTCAGAGCTACAGACACATTTAATGTCTACTTCAGAGCTACAGACACATTTCATGTCTACTTCAGAGCTACAGACACATTACATGTCTACTTCAGAGCTACAGACACATTTCATGTCTACTTCAGAGCTACAGACACATTTCATGTCTACTTCAGAGCTACAGACACATTACATGTCTACTTCAGAGCTACAGACACATTTCATGTCTACTTCAGAGCTACATACACATTACATGTCTACTTCAGAGCTACAGACACATTTCATGTCTACTTCAGAGCTACGGACACATTACATGTCTACTTCAGAGCTACAGACACATTACATGTCTACTTCAGAGCTACGGACACATCACATGTCTACTTCAGAGCTACAGACACATTACATGTCTACTTCAGAGCTACGGACACATCACATGTCTACTTCAGAGCTACAGACACATTACATGTCTACTTCAGAGCTAAAGATACTCTAATAAAGAATTTCACTTAGAGGTCAACCCTATTCTTCGCGTCACGGGACACACACCAAGGACACATACACTTTATTGTTCTAATAATAGAAAGATACAATAAACATTGTAACTATAGAATCACAACACTATTATTTTGTTCTCTTAAACTGAACCACCAAGTTTCTCTTGGTACATTTTTCACGGAGGTCATTCCCAAGCCCAAGATCCCTCTAACAAACAAATTTCCACTGATTTTCTCTGAGTTTCGACCCAAACTTCAACTGATTTTCTCTCAATTACGACCCAAACTTCAACTGATTTTTCTCTTAATTACAACCCAAACTTCCACTGATTTTCTCTAAATTACGACCCAAACTTCCACTGATTTTCTCTAAATTACGACCCAAACTTCAACTGATTTTTCTCTTAATTACAACCTAAACTTGCACTGATTTTCTCTAAATTACGACCCAAACTTCCACTGATTTTCTCTGAATTACGACCCAAACTTCAACTGATTTTCTCTGAATTACAACCTAAACTTCCACTGATTTTCTCTGAATTACGACCCAAACGTCCACTGATTTTCTCTTAATTACAACCCAAACTTCCACTGATTCCCTCGAAGGTACAGCACAAAACCCCATGA